TGAAACACAGATAGACATTCTTCTGGTATTCCCTGCTTTCAGCCAAGATCCATCTAACATCAGCAACGATATCCCTAGCACCACGACCCCTTCTAAACCCAGCCTGGACTTCCGGCAGTTCTCTGCTGATGTGCTGTTCTAATCTAGACCCACTAAAAATGGTTTTCTAGCAAGTTTCATATAGCAGCAGGGCTAACAGATCTGTGTACACCTAAAAGTAAGACTAAAATCCACACTTTACATATGGCAAGTATCCTTTAAAATTAGAGGGATGACATTGCAATGAAAAGATCAAAGTGAGCGATTTTGTCAGCTGAAACTATAACTCTGGAAAAGATTCCTTTCCACATTACAGAAGCCTATATAGGAAAACATCAGAAGTCCATCCAGGTCTCTTGTTTATGTCCCTCAGTCTTCAATTGCCAACCTGAAAATTGATGTCTTGGTCTCAATTTTGTGCTCTGGTGGCTTGGTGGTAAGGAGTTGCATAGCCAACCCAAGGCCAGGCTCCCCGGGAGGGGATGGACAATGTCCTCTCTTTGAGGGTCAGCTATGAATCAGTTCCTACTCAACGGTCCACAGCAACAATCACTATCGGTCTCCGAAGATCCACACCAGCTTCTTTAACAAGTATCAGTACAAAGCTAGTTCCTCCAAGGCACAGGTTAAAACTGTTGCAAATGCCCAACTTCTCCCAACTGCTGTACCTCTCTATCATTTCTGACATCAGTTATGGCTCCTCCCCTCAGTTCTCTCACTCCTGTCTTTGTATTCTGTGTTTCGCTGGGAGGTCTCACAGAAGCTCAGAATCCATCAGGGAAATTGCTCCCGCGTTGTAGACGGTGCAGGCTGATGCGCGAGGTGGCACAGACGGTGCCGCCGTGAGCCAGGAGCCTGCAGCCGGAGGCTCGCCGTTGTCCGCTGGGGGCAGCTGCTTCAGATGCACGTTGTCTCCGAGGGAGCAGGGATTGCGTTTCCCAGCAAACTCCATAGTTTTGTCCCCTTAGATAGTTCTTAGAGAAAATGGGTGGAACTATGTGTTTCTGTGAAAGACCTTCATTTATCTCTCTGACCAAGAGTTTCTACGGAAGTACGAGAAGAGAAAACAGTAGTATCTTTGATCTTCAAAGAAATTTTCGAAATAAAAGTTCTATTATTGCCCTGATTGTGAGAGAGGTACAAGTGAATATGCCCCACAAATTAGTAGGTTGTTTTCCGCCTGGATTCAAACAAGAGGAAAGCTGTGAAGCTCTAATTCTTGTGTGGAAGATACCCAGGGTCAAATGCCTCTGAAAGGACTAGCAAATTTTGTCCAGAGAAAGTATGAAAGGCACACATTCGTCAGATAAATGAAGAAAGATAGTTTATTGAGAGGAGAAAGAATTTTTTTTTTCGTTGCAGCTTAATACTTCTTTATTCTGATAATGGCGGCCGCCAGGAGAAAGAAATTTATATTGAGAGGAAAGAGAAGCATAAAGCCAAGTATCTATTGTAAAGCATACTCATTGAAAAATACACATAAAAATAAACATAAAAAATACACATAAGATATAAAGTTATTACCATTAGTGGTAAAGAGTTGTGCTACCAAACTAAAGGCCCAATTTGACCTACTAACATGAGGGAGAAAGATGGGCAATCTCTTCTGTTGAGACTGACATCCCATAACAACAACAATTTTCTGGGCAATCTGGTGATTTAGTCCACAGAAAGTTGCCCCGTTAACTGAAAGGTTGTACCTCTCTAGCAGTTAGAACCCACCAGCTCTTCTGCAGGAGAGAGATGGACAATCTCCTACTGTGTGATTTTTAACCTTCTATTCCTTAGCAATAAATCATGGCTGTATTCTTTTAACGTTTTTCTGCATGTTTGTTGTTTGGTTGGGTGTTTGTTTGTTTGTTTGTTTGTTTTTAAGGAAGACTGAAACTCTGTCCCAGGTTTTGCTTTGTTCTCTTGAGGTAAAATTCTGAAAATGAAACACTATATTTCTGAGGTGATTACTACAGTGTCAATCTCTGGAGGGATGCAAGAGTCAGCTTATTGGAGGAGTCCAGCTACTGAATTACTGCTAACGGCTTTCCCGATTTCTAAGCTTAAGCATGACCACGGCTTGACTCAGGCATACCTTAGCCTTTAAGCTGACATCATGGGTCCTCAATCATGATGTCAATTTAAAGATTAAGGGGTGCCTACTTCAAGCCATAGCCTGTTCAGTCTCCTACTGTGCATCTGAAGTTTGCACAGTGAACAAAGCAATGCCTTAAGTTGTAGTACTGGAAGAGTGATCAGTGTTCCATGAACTGTCCAAAGAGCATATATGTCTTGGAGACAGTGCACACAGAGTGCTCCTTGAAGACAAGGATGGAGTAGCGTGATCTCACATACTTCAGGCATGTTGTTAGCAGAGGTTTTTTCCCTTGGAAAAGAAGGTCAAGGGTCCGTGAAAGAGTGGAAGATCCTCATCCAGATGGATTTGCCGCAGTGGCTGCCACAACGGGATCAAGGATACCTGAGATGATGAGGATGGCACAGGAAAATACAGGATTCAGCTATGTTGTTTGTAGGGTCACTCAACTCCAGGGCACTTAACAAAAACAAGAAATATAGGCAAATGGCCTAGAATCATGTTTCAATGGGATAAAAGAAAGCTGGGAGAGTAAGAAAGTATCTTCCCTGACCGGGAATCGAACCCGGGCCGCGGCGGTGAAAGCGCCGAATCCTAGCCACTAGACCACCAGGGAGCCACGAAAGTACCTCTTTCCCCGCTTCCTCCAAGCCCTCTGCGAGGCCTGGCTCCGCCCGCCCCTCGCCGCGCTCTAATCCCGCGACCATCTGCTCCCCGCGCCCCGCACAGCGCGTTCGCCGCTTGGCTGAGCGCGGGGTCAGTCCCGGTCCCCGCACCTCTGAGTGCACCTACAGCTGCGGCTTCACCCAGGGCCGGGCGCGGGGCTCGGGGGTGCCAGGGGCAGGAAGTGGGGCGGGGTATCCGGGGCAGGAAAGGGGGCAGGGGTACCCGGGGCAGGAAAGGGGGGAGGGGTACCCGGGGCAGGAAGGGGGCGCGGTACCCGGGGTAGGAAAGGGGGGAGGGGTACCCGGGGTAGGAAAGGGGGGGCCCCACGAACCCCTGACATAGTGGCCCTTGGCCACGTGTTAAAAGCGAATTACATGGAGGCTGGTTTGTTATGTGTGATGTTTGATATTTTTAAGCACTCAAGTGACTTAAGACTCATGTTTCCCCCTTTTCTCGGGTACAGGTAAAATATTAATATAAAATGTCATACACGATAAGTACCAGACTTGAGCAGAAGACAGAACAAAAGCGGGGGTGGGGGGCAGACTTTGGAAAAGTGTGGAGGAAAACGCACAGTTTGGATTCCATTGCCTTCCATTTTCCTGGTAAATGATGGTTGTGTTCTGTAGCCAGGAGTTGATTTGCCCATCTTTCTCCTGCTGAATAGCTGATTGCCTTGAACCACTTACCTCACTTGGGCAGCACTATTCCTTACCACTATGCCAGGAGAGCTCCCTGACAAATGGTTAGGAACTAGATTATTAACCGAATGGTTTGTGTTTGGAACCTACACAGAGACACCTGGAGAAGCAGACCTAGTGACCTGCTTCTGAAAAGTTACAGCCTTCAAAACCCTGTGGAATTAAACAACAAAAGCTGGCCAAGGGTGTGGAGACATTGCAACACTCAAACTGGTGTAACTGTAAAAAGTGCAACCTGTATAGGAACCAATTTGCTACTTCCTTTAAAAGTTAAAAGTAGAAACTCTATGTCATGCTTGGGAGGGTGGAGGGACAGTGCAGGAGAGGAAGACCCTCTATGAGATGGATTGATTCAGTTACTGGGGTAATCGGGATAGGTGTGTCGAAGACTAGTGAGATTGGCACAGGA